ATAATAAATATAAAAAGAAATAGAATATTGTACACATGATAAATAAATAGAAAAAATTTGAATATTGTATACATGATCAATAAATAAATATAAAACAATTAGAATAGTGAATACATGGTCAATCAATATAATAAATTTGGAATATGGCATCCATGATCAATAAATATAAAAAAAATTAGGATATTGTATACATGATAAATATAAAAACAACATTCATAATAAACAAATAAAAATATAAAAGGACTTAGAATAGTGTATACATGATCAATCAATATAATAAAATTAGGATATGGCATCCATGATCAATAAATATAAAAAAATTAGGATATTGTATACATGATAAATATAAAAACAACATTCATAATAAATAAATAAATAAATATGAAAGGAATTAGAACAGTGTATACATGATCAGTCAATATAAGAAAATTAGAATATGGCATCCATGATCAATAAATATAAAAAAATTAGGATATTGTATACATGATAAATATAAAAACAACATTCATAATAAACAAATAAAAAATAAAAGGAATTAGAATAGTGTATACATGATCAATCAATATAAGAAAATTAGAATATGGCATCCATGATCAATAAATATAAAAAAATTAGGATATTGTATACATGATAAATATAAAAACAACATTCATAATAAATAAAAAATTATAAAAGGAATTAGAACAGTGTATACATGATCAGTCAATATAAGAAAATTAGGATATGGCATCCATGATCAATAAATATAAAAAATTAGGATATTGTATACATGATAAATATAATAAAATTAGAATATTGTATACATGATAAATAAATATAAAAATTTAGAATATTATATACATAATAAGTAAATAAATAAAAAAAGAATTAGAGTATTGTACACATGATCACTAAATAGAAAAAAAATAGAATATTGTATACATGATCAATAAATAAATATAAAACAATTAGAACAGTGTATACATGATCAATCAATATAAGAAAATTAGAATATGGCATCCATAATAAATAAATATAAAAATATTAGAATATTGTATACATGATAAATATAAAAACAACATTCATAATAAATAAATATAAAAGGTATTAGAATAGTGTATACATGATCAATCAGAATAAATAAATATAAAATAATTAGGATATTGTATCCATGATAAATAAATAAAATCTTAAAAAAAATCAACCAATAAACCACAGCTCAGTCATAAAAATAAATAAATTAAAAACATGATCAATCAATATAAGAAAATTCAAATATGGCATCCATGATCAATAAATATAAAAAAATTAGGATATTGTATACATGATAAATATAAAAACAACATTCACAATAAATAAATAAATATCAAAGGAATTAGAATAGTGTATACATGATCATTCAATATATGAAAATTAGAATATGGCATCCATGATCAATAAATATAAAAAAAATTAGGATATTGTATCCATGATAAACAAATAAAATCTTTAGAAAAGAAATCAACCAATCAACCATAGCTCAGCCATAAAAATAAATTAATTAATTAAAAACATGATCAATCCATATAAGAAAATTAGAATATGGCATCCATGATCAATAAATATAAAAAATTAGCATATTGTATCCATAATAAATAAATAAAATCTTAAAAAAAATCAACCAATAAACCACAGCTCAGCCATGAAAATAAATAAATTAATTAATTAAAAAAGAAAAAAATCAACCAATAAACCACAGCTCAGCCATAAAAATTAATTAATTAATTAAAAAAGAAAAACATCAACCTATAAACCACAGCTCAGCCATAAAAATAAATAAATTAATTAAAATAAAAAGAAACAGGACCCGGGTTTGTGAGACCCCCCCCCACAACGCCATTGGTTGGGTCCCCCCCATTTGCATAGAGGAGTGGGGGGATCCACCCGTCACCATGACAATGGTTGCTGGGGGGGAGGTGGGCGGAGCTTCCTGCCCGGCAGCTGGGGTCCATGTGGGGCCCGCGGACCATGCAGACCCGGGACTTGAACCCGCGCCCTGGGGCTCTCCCCGAACCCCCGGCCCGGGACTCGAACCCGCGCCCTGGGGCTCTCCCCGAACCCCTGGTCCCCACGGCGACGGCGGCGGCCACGGCGGCTGCGCGTCCAAGTCCTGAGGTGACGGCGTAGGGGCGGGGGAACAAGGACCTGGGGCCCTTGTTTTTAAAATATTTATTTATTATGGATACAATATTCTAATTTTTATATCTATTTATTTATTATGGATACAGTATTCTAATTTTTATATATTTATTGATCATGGATACAATATTCTAATTCTCTATTTATTTGTTTATTCATTATGGATACAGTATTCTAATTTTTATGTTTCTTTATTATGGATACAATATTCTAATTCTCTATTTATTTGTTTATTCATTATGGATACAGTATTCTAATTTTTATGTTTCTTTATTATGGATACAATATTCTAATTTTTATATCTATTTATTATAGATACAATATTCTAATTTTTATATATTTATTTATCATGGATACAATATTCTAATTCTCTATTTATTTGTTTATTCATTATGCACACAATATTCTAATTTTTATATATTTATTTATCATGGATGCAATATTCTAATTCTCTATTTATCCATTATGGATACAATATTCTAATTTTTATATTTATTCATTATGGATACAATATTCTAATTTTTATATATTTATTGATCATGGATACAATATTCTAATTCTCTATTTATTCATTATGGATACAATATTCTAATTTTTATGTTTCTTTATTATGGATACAATATTCTAATTTTTATATTTATTTATTATGGATACAATATTCTAATTTTTATATCTATTTATTATGGATACAAAATTCTAATTTTTATATATTTATTGATCATGGATACAATATTCTAATTCTCTATTTATTCATTATGGATACAATATTCTAATTTTTTTATATTTATTCATCATGGATACCATATTGTAATTTTTATATATTTATTTATCATGGATACAATATTCTATTTCTCTATTTATTTATTCATTATGGATACAATATTCTAATTTTTATATCTATTTATTTATCATTGATACAAAATTCTAATTCTCTATTCATTATGGATACAATACTCTAATTTTTATGTTTATTTATCATGGATACAATATTCTAATTTTTATATCTATTCATTATGGATACAATATTCAATTTTTTATATCTATTCATTATGGATACAATATTCTAATTTTTATGTTTATCTATTTAGTCACTATTGGTACAGTATTCTAATTCTCTTTATTTATTCCTTATGTATACAATATCCTACTTTTTTCATTTACTTATTCCTTATGCATAAAATAGTCTAATTTTGCATTCATTTATTCATTATGCATACAATATTCTAATTTTATATTTATTCATTATGTGTGCAATATTCTAATTTTATTTTGATATATTTATTATGTATATGATATTCTAATTTTTATATTTATCTATTTATTCAAAATGTATACAATATTCTAATTCTTATTTATTTATCATGTATACAATGTCGTGATTTGTATATCTATTTATTCATGATGTATACAATATTCTAATTCTCTTCTTATTTGTGTATTTATTATGTATACAATATTCTAATTAATATATTTACTTATTCATGATGAATACAATATTCTAATTCTCTTTCATATTTATTTATAATTTTATAAAAATTAGGATATTTCTTGCGTAATAAACAAATATAAAATTAGGATATCGCATGCCTCATGAGTAAATAAACATAAAAATTAGGATGATGCCTACATAATAAATAAATATAAACATTAGGATATTGCATGCATAATAAATAAATATAAAATTAGGATATTGTATGCATAATAAATAGGTACAAAAATTAGAATGTTGTATACATAATGAATAGATGTACATACTAAATAAATATAATAATTAGGATATCGCATGCATATATAATAATTAGGATATTGCGTACATAATAAATAGATATAAAAATTAGGATATGCATACATAATAAATAGATATAAAAATCAAGATATCGCATGCATACACAATATAAAAATTAGGATATTGCCTACATAATAAAGAGATATGAAAATTAGGATATGCATACATAATAGATATAAAAATCAGGATATCGCATGCATACACAATAAATATAAGAATTAGGATATCGCATGCATACATAATACATATAATAATTAGAATATTGCATGCATACATAATAGATATAAAAACTAGGATATCACATGCATACACAATAAATATAAAAATTAGAATATCGCACGCATACATCATAAATATAATAATTAGGATATCGCATGTATACACAATAAATATAAAAATTAGGATATTGCCTACGTAAAACTGATATAAAAATTTGCATATGCACACATAATAAATAGATCTAAAAATTAGGATAGGATATCGCATGAATACATAATAAATATAATAATTAGAATATCGCATGCATACATAATAAATATGATAATTAGGTCATTGCCTACATAATGAATAGATATGAAAGTTAGGATATGCACACATAATAGATATAAAAATCAGGATATCGCATGCATACATAATGAATAAATATGAAATTAGAATATTGCACACGTAATAAACATGATAATTAGAATATCGCATGCATATCATACATAAAATTAGAATATTGCATACGTAATTTACATGATAATTAGAATATCGCGTGCATATCATACATGGATTAGAATATTGCATACGTAATAAACATGATCATTAGAATATTGCGTGCATATCATACATGAAATTAGAATATTGCATATGTAATGAACATGATAATTAGAATATCACATGCATATCATACATGAAATTAGAATATTGCATACGTAATAAACATGATAATTAGAATATCACATGCATATTATACATAAAATTAGAATATTGCATAAGTAATAAACATGATAATTAGAATACTGCATGCCGACGCCCACCCTGACCCCTGACCCCTCCCCTGTGCCCCGCCCAGGCGGCCATGGACCGGATGAAGAAGATCAAGCGGCAGCTGTCCGTCACCCTCCGCGGGGGGCGGGGCCCAGACAAGAGCAGCAGAGCGGCCGCCGTGGAAGAGCCAATCGGGGGCCGCGGGGGGCGGGGCCCAGACAGGAGCAATGGATCCGCCGATGCCGCCAACGCCGAGCCGGAGGGAGGCAGGGACCCGGGGGCGGTGACCACCACCCCATCCCGCGGGGTTCCTGGGGACCTGCACCCCGATAGGGGCCCGCTCAGCTCCGCGCCAGGTACAGATTTCATTATTAATAATATATGAAATATAATATACAAAATATTCTAATTTTATATTCATTATGCATGCAATATTCTAATTTTATGTTTATTGTGTATGCGTGCAGTATTCTAATTTTATGTTTATTATGTATGAAATATTCTAATTTTATTTTTATTTATTATGTACATAATATCCTAATTCTATATTTATTTATTATGTACACCATATCCTAATTCTATATTTATTTATCATGCACACAATACCCTAATTTTATATTTATTTATTATGCACACAATATTCTAATTTCTATATTTATTTATGATGTACACAATACCCTAATTCTATATTTATTATGCATGCAATATTCTAATTTTATGTTTATTGTGCATGCAATATACTAATTTTATATTTATTGTCTATGCGTGCAGTATTCTAATTTTTATATTTATTGTGTATGTGTGCAATATTCTAATTGTTATGTTTATTGTGTATGCATAAAGTATTCTAATTTTATATTGATTATGCATGCAATATTCTAATTTTATATTTATTTATTATGTATACAGTCCATTTCCTTTATAAATAAATCTTTTATTTATTTATTATGTAGGCAGTATTCTAATTTTTATGTTTATTATGCGTGCAATATTCTAATTTTATGTTTATTGTGTATGCATGCAATATTCTAATTTTTATATTTATTGTGCATGCATGCAATATTCTGATTTTTTTATATTTATTGATCATGGACACATATTCTGATTTTTTTATATTTATTGATCACACATGCCATATTCTGATTTTTTTATATTTATTGATCCGCAGAGATCGTCCACGAGGACACCAAGATGGAGTCGGACGGCGAGAGCGAACAGGCCTCCGCCACCTCCTCCGACGAGGTGCAGTCGCCCGTGAAAGTGCGCACGCGCAGCCACCAGCCGCGCAAGATCTCCACCAAGGTGTGGGGCCTGTGTTTATTATGCATGCAACATTCCAATTTTATATTAATTATGCATGCAATGCTCTAATTTTATATTAATTATGCATGCAATATTCCAATATTATGTTAATTATGCATGCAATATTCTAATTTATATTTATTGTGTATGCAATATTCTAATTTTATGTTAATCATGTATGCAATACTCTAATTTTATGTTCATTCATTATGTGTGCAATATTCTAATTTTATATTCATCATACATACAATATTCTCACTTTATATTTATTATGCATTCAATATTCTAATTTTATATGCATTATGCATACCGCATGCAATATTCTAATTTCTACAATTATTTATTATGCGTGCAATATTCTAATTTTATATTTATCATGCATTCAATATTCTAATTTTATGTTTATTATGTGTGCAGTATTCCAATTCTTATATTTATGCATTCATCATGCATGCAGCATTCTAATTTTTCATGTTTATTCATTATGCATGCAATATTCTAATTTTATGTTTATTAATTTTGCATGCCATATTTTAATTTTATTTATTCATTATGTGTGCAATATTCTAATTTTATATTTATATGTTATGCATGCAATATTCTAATTTTTACAGTTATTTATTATATGTGCAATATTCTAATTTTTACAGTTATTTATTATATGTGCAATATTCTAATTTTTATAGTTATTTATTTATTATGCATGCGATATTCTAATTTTTATTTTCCGTACATATTCTAATTTTATACTTATTTATTATGCACACAATACTCTAATTTTTATATTTATTATTCATACAATATTCTAATTTTATATTTACACCCTCACGCCTGCAGCCGGTTCCTGAGCTGCCCGGGACTCGAACTCTTGACCCCTTGGGGGGGAGAAGGCGCCGCCGCGCTAACCACTGAGCCGCCCTCTCTTCATTTTTAATTTCTTTTATTTTTTAATCTCTTTATTTTTAATTCCTTTATTTTTCATCACCCAGGACATCAACAAGCGCCTGTCGCTGCCCACCGACATCCGGCTGCCCGAGGGCTACCTGGAGAAGCTGATGCTCCACAGCCCCATCTTCGACAAGCCGCTCAGCCGGCGCCTGCGCAGGGTCAGCCTGGTGAGCGGTTTAATTAATTTAATAATTAATATTTAATATTTAATAATTTATTCCCCCCCTCCCCGGCTTCAGCACATCCCCCCTCCCCCCCCCCCCCCCCCCCCCCCCCCCCCCCCCCGCTGCAGTCGGAGATCGGCTTCGGGAAGCTGGAGACCCACATCAAGCTGGACAAGCTGGGCGAGGTGAGGGCCTCAATTCTTAAATAAATCAATTTATTTTATGTTTATTTCATAATTAAAAAAAAAGGAAAGGCGGGGAGGGGGTAGACATCCTGAATAAATAAATTTATTTATTTTTATTTCTTATAAATAATTCTTTTTAAAAAAGGAAAGGCGGGGAGGAGGCAGACATCCTTAAATAAATAAATTTCATTTTATAATTTAAAAAAAAAAGAAAAGGCGGGGAGGGGGCAGACATCCTGAATAAAGAAATAAATTTAGTTTTTTTTATTTTTTTTATAAATAAATTTTAAAAGAAAAGGCGGGGAGGAGGCAGACATTCTTAAATAAATAAATTTATTTTATTTTATTTTATAATTTAAAAAAAAGAAAAGGAGGGGAGGGGGCAGACATCCTGAATAAATAAATAAATTTAGTTTTTTATAAATAAATTTAAAAAAAGGAAAGGCGGGGAGGAGGCAGACATTCTTAAATAAATAAATTTATTTTATTTTATTTTATTTTATAATAAAAAAAAAGAAAAGGCTGGGAGGAGACAGAAATCCTGAATAAATAAATAATTTTTTTATGAATAAATTTATAAAAAGGCAGGAAGGAGGCAGACATCTTGAATAAATAAATAAATTTATTTATTTTTTATTTTTTTTATAAATAAATTTTAAAAGAAAAGGCAGGGAGGAGGCAGACATCCTGAATAAATAAATTTATTTATTTTTATTTTTTATAAATAATTTTTTTTTAAAAAAAGAAAATGCGGGGAGGAGGCAGAAATCCTTAAATAAATAAATTTATTTTATTTTATTTTATTTTATAACTTAAAAAAAAGAAAGGGAAGGGAGGAGGCAGAAATCCTGAATAAAGAAATAAATTTAGTTTTTTTTTATTTTTTTTTATAAATAAAAAGAAAAGGCGGGGAGGAGGCAGACATTCTTAAATAAATAAATTTATTTTATTTCATTTTATAATTTTTAAAAAAAAAGAAAAGGCGGGGAGGAGGCAGAAATCATGAATAAATAAATTTATTTATTTTTATTTTTTATAAATAATTTTTTTTAATAATTTTTTTTTATTAAGAAAAGAAGAAATAAAAACATAAACAAAAAACAAGTTTCCAGCTCCTCCCAGCCTCCCATTTCCCTCCCCCTCCTCCCACCCTTCTCCCCCTCCTCCCACCCTTCTCCCCTCCCCCCACTCCTCTCCCCCTCCCTCTCCAGTCCACAGAGCAGTCCAGGTTCCCTGCCCTGTGGTAAGTCCTAGGTCCTCCCCCCTCCGTCCATATCTAGGAAGGTGAACATCCAAACTGGCTAGGCTTCCACAAAGCCAGCACATTAAGTAGGATCAAAACCCCGTGCCATTGTCCTTGGCGTCTCATCAGCCCTCATTGTTCGCCATGTTCAGAGAGTCCGGTTTTATCCCATGCTTTTTCGGTCATAGTCCAGCTGGCCTTGGTGAGCTCCCAGTAGATCAGCTCCACTGTCTCAGTGGGTGGGTGCACGCCTCGTGGTCCCGACTTCTTTGCTCATGTTCTCCCTCCTTCTGCTCCTCATTGGGACCTTGGGAGCTCAGTCCAGTGCTCCAGTGTGGGTCTCTGTCTCTGTCTCCATCCATCACCAGATGAAGGTTCTATGATGATATGCAAGATATTCGTCAGTATTGCTCTCGGATAGGGTCATTTCAGGTTCCCAATCCTCAGCTACCCAAGGAACTAACTGGGAACCTCATCTTGGGCACTTGGGAGCCCCTCTAGGGTCAAATCTCTTGCTCACCCTAAAGTGGTTCCCTTAACTAAGAATTGTGGTTCCGTGCTCCCCTATCCACCTTTCCTTTATCCCAATTCTCCTGATTCCCCAAATCCCCCCTCCTTCCCTTCTACCTTTTCTCTCCCCATCTCCCCTTACCCCCATCCCACCCCACCCCCAAGATCCTAATTTTCTCCCCAGCAATTGGGTCTACTTCCCTTAGCCAAGAGGATAACTATATGTTTTTCCTTGGGTTCACCTTCTTACTTAGCTTCTTTAGGTTCACCTATTGTAGACTCCGTGGCCCTAATTTATGGCTAGAAACCAATTATGAGCGAGTACATCCCATGTTCATCTTTTTGGGTCTGGGACACCTCACTCAGGATAGTGTTTTCTATTTCCATCCATTTGCCTGCAAAATTCGAGAAGTCATTGTTTTTTACCGCAGCGTAGTACACTAGCGTGTATATATTCCATACTTTCTTCATCCATTCTTCCATTGAAGGGCATCTAGGTTGTTTCCAGGTTCTGGATATTACAAATAATACTGCTATGAACATAGTTGAACAAATGCTTTTGTCATATGATAGAGCATCTCTTGGGTATATTCCCAGGAGTGGTATTGCTGGGTCCAGGGGTAAGTTGATCCCGAATTTCCTGAGAAACCGAAACACTGACTTCCACAGTGGTTGCACAAGATGGCATTCCCACCAGCAATGGATGAGGGTACCCGTTCCTCCACAGCCTCTCCAGCAAAGGTTATCCTTGGTGTTTTTGACTTTAGCCATTCTGACAGGTGTAAGATGATATCTCAAAGTTGTTTTGATTTGCATTTCCCTGATTGCTAAGGAAGTTGAGCACGACTTTAAGTGTCTTTTGGCCATTTGAACTTCCTCTGCTGAGAATTCTCTGTTCAGTTCAGTGCCCCATTTTTTAATTGGGTTAATTAGCATTTTAAAGTCTAGTTTCTTGAGTTCTTTATATATTTTGGAGATCAGACCTTTGTCTGTTGTGGGGTTGGTGAAGATCTTCTCCCAATCAGTAGGTTGCCTTTGTGTCTTATTGACTATGTCCTTTGCTTTACAGAAGCTTCTCAGTTTAAGTAGGTCCCATTTATTCAATGTTGCCCTTAATGTCTGTGCTTCTGGGGTTATACATAGGAAGCGATCTCCTGTGCCCAGCTCCTGTAGGGTACTTCCCACTTTCTCTTCTATCAGGTTCAGTGTGTTCGGGCTGATATTGAGGTCTTTAATCCATTTGGACTTGAGTTTTGTGCACGGTGATAGATAAGGGTCTATTTTCATTCTTCTACAAGATGACATCCAGTTGTGCCAGCACCATTTGTTGAAGATGCTTTCTTTCTTCCATTTTATACTTTTAGCTCCTTTATCGAAAATCAGGTGTTCATAGGTTTGTGGGATAAAATCCGGGTCTTCTATACGATTCCATTGGTCGACTTCTCTGTTTTTATGCCAGTACCACACTGTTTTCATTACTGTAGCTCTGTAATAGAGTTTGAAGTCAGGGATGTTAATGCCTCCAGAAGATCCTTTATTGTATAGGATTGTTTTGGCTATCCTGGGTTTTTTGTTTTTCCATATAAAGTTGATTATTGTCCTCTCCAGATCTGTGAAGAATTTTGATGGGATCTTGATGGGGATTGCATTGAATCTATAAATAGCCTTTGGTAGAATTGCCATTTTTACTATGTTGATCCTCCCAATCCAAGAGCAAGGGAGGTCCATCCATTTTTTGGTATCCTCTTCAATTTCTTTCTTCAATGCCTTAAAGTTCTTGTCAAATAGATCTTTCACTTCCTTGGTTAGATGTACCCCAAGATATTTTATGCTGTTTTTGGCTATTGTGAATGGTGAAGCTTCTCTGATTTCCCTCTCTGCTTCCATATCCTTTGTGTATAAGAGGGCGACTGATTTTTTGGAGTTGATCTTGTATCCTGCCACATTACTAAAGCTGTTTATCAGCTGTAGGAGTTCTTTGGTGGAGTTTTTGGGGTCGCTTATGTACACTATCATATCATCTGCAAATAACGAAAGTTTAACTTCTTCCTTTCCAATTCGAATCCCCTTGATTCCATTATGTTGTCTTATTGCTATTGCTAGAACTTCAAGCACTATATTGAAGAGGTATGGGGAGAGTGGACAGCCTTGTCGTGTTCCTGAGTTAAGTGGGTTGGCTTTGAGTTTCTCTCCGTTTAATTTGATGTTAGCTGTCGGCTTGCTGTATATAGCTTTTATTATATTTAGGTATGACCCTTGTATCCCTAATCTCTCCAAGACTTTTAACATAAATGGATGTTGAATTTTGTCAAATGCTTTTTCAGCATCTAATGAAATGATCATATGGTTTTTTTCTTTCAGTTTATTTATATGCTGGATTACATTGATAGATTTTCGTATGTTGAACCAGCCCTGCATCTCAGGAATGAAGCCTACTTGATCATAATGGATAATTTTTCGGATGTGTTCTTGGATTCGATTTGCCAGTATTTTTTTGAAGATTTTTGCGTCGATATTCATGAGTGAGATTGGCCTGTAGTTCTCTTTCCTGGTTGAGTCTTTGAGTGGTTTTGGTATCAGAGTAATTGTGGCTTCATAAAAGGAGTTTGGTAATGACCCTTCTGTTTCTATCTTGTGGAATACATTAAGGAGTATAGGTATTAGATCTTCTTGGAAGATCTGGTAGAATTCCGCATTGAAACCATCTGGTCCTGGGCTTTTTTTGGTAGGGAGGTTTTTGATAACCTCTTTTAATTCTTCGCGAAAAACAGGTCTATTTAGATTGTTCACCAGGTCCTGATTTAACTTTGGTATATAATATTTATCTAAAAAAGTATCCATTTCCTTTACATTTTCCAATTTTGTGGCATATAGGCTTTTGTAGTAAGATCTAATGATTCTCTGAATTTCCTCTGTGTCTGTGGTTATGTCCCCCTTTTCATTTCTGATCTTATTAATTTGCAAATTCTCTCTCTGCCGTTTGATTAGCTTGGATAGTGGTTTGTCAATCTTGTTGATTTTCTCCAGGAACCAGCTTTTTGTTTCATTGATTTTTTTGTATTGTTTTCTGTGTTTCTATTTTGTTGATTTCAGCCCTCATTTTGATTATTTCCAGTCTTCTACTTCTCCTAGGTGAGTCTGCTTCTTTTTTTTCTAGAGCTTTCAGGTTGGCTGTTAAGTCCTGAATAAATAAATTTATTTATTTTTATTTTTTATAAATAATTTTTTTAAAAAAAAAAAGAAAATGCGGGGAGGAGGCAGAAATCCTTAAATAAATAAATATATTTTATTTTATTTTACAAATTTTTTTTAAAAAAAAAAAGGAAAGGCGGGGAGGAGGCAGAAATCCTTCATAAATAAATTTATGTTTTTGGATTTTTTTTAATAATTTTTTTAAAAAAAGGCGGGGAGGAGGCAGACATCCCGAATGAATAAATTTATTTTTTTTATTTTTTTTATAAATAAAAAGAAAAGGCGGGGAGGAGGCAGACGTCCTGAATAAATAAATTTATTTATTTTTCATTTTTTTTAATAAATTTTAAAAAACGGCGGGGAGGAGGCAGAGAATCCGTAATAAAATAAATCGGTTTAACCCCCTCCCTCCGCGGTTGTCCACCCTGCGCGGCCCAGGGCACCTACGCCACTGTCTACAAAGGCCGGAGCAAGCTGACCGACAACCTGGTGGCGCTCAAGGAGATCCGGCTGGAGCACGAGGAAGGCGCACCCTGCACGGCCATACGGGAAGGTACGCGGCCCGCCTGAATTTATATAATTTCTGGTTTATTTTTACTTATTATTTATTTATTAATTTATTAATTTTTTTATTTTTATTCATTTTTATTTATTAATTTATTAATTAATTATTCACTTACATAATTTTCATTTATTTATTTATATTTATTATTTATTTATTTATTTATTATTTATTATTTATTAATTATTTTTATTGATTTATTTTTATTTATTATTTACTTATTAATTTATTAATTATTTTTATTTATTAATTTTTATTCATTATTTATTCATTAATTTATTGTTTTTTATTCATTTATTTTATTGATTGATTGATTTTTGTTTATTTTTTATTTTTACTTATTTGTTTATTGTTTTTATTTATTTATCTTTACTTATTATTTACTGATTTATTATTTATTTTTTATTTATTTATTTTTATCCATTATTTATTTCTTAATTTATTATTTTTTATTTATTTATTTTTATGTGTCGATTGATTTTTATTTATTCTTTATTTTTATTTATTTGTTTATTGTTTTTATTTATTTATTTTTATTTATTATTTATTTATTAATTTACCAATTATTTTTTATTTATTTATTTTTATTTATCGATTGATTTTTATTTATTTTTTATTTTTATTTATTTATTTGTTTATTGTTTTTATTTATTTATTTATATTTATTATTTATTTATTGATTTATTAATTATTTTTATTTATTTTTATTTATTATTCATTTATTAATTTATTGCTTTTTATTTATTTATTTTTATTTATCGATTGATTTTTATTTTTTATTTTTATTATTTGTTTATTGTTCTTATTTATTTTTATTTAATATTTATTATTTATTTGTTTATTCATTCATTCATTTATTTATTTATTTATTTATTGCAAGCCCCATCTTAGACGTTCTTGACTCCGCGGCACACTGTCTCTAGGATATTTTTATTTTTTTTTTAATATTTATTTATTTATTTATTTATTTATTTATTAAAGATTTGTCTCTTCCCCACCACTACCACCTCCCGAATTTTATTTTTTATTTATTTATTTATTTATTGTAAGCCCGTGGCACACCACCGCCGGAAGGATATTTTTTTTTAATTTTTTATTCACTTATTTATTTTTCACTTATGTATTTATTAAAGATGTCTGTCTCTTCCTGGCCGCCGCCGCCGCCTCCCAAATTTTATTTTATTTTATTTTTTAGTTTATTTTTTTTTAATTTTTATTTATTTATTTATTATTTATTTATATTAATTATTTATTTATATTAATTAATTTATTTATTTATTGCAAACCCGTCTTAGACGTTCTTGACTCCGTGGCACACTGTCTCTAGGATATTTTTATTTTTTTAATTTTTATTTATTTATTTATTAATATTATTTATATTAATTAATTAATTTATTTATTTATTTACTTATTTGTTTTTGCAAACCCATCTTAGACGTTCTTGACTCCGTGGCACACTGCCTCTAGGATATTTTTAATTTTTTTTTATTTCTATTTATTTACTTATTTATTTATTTATGTATTGATTAAAGATTTCTGTCTCTTCCCCACCGCCGCCGCCTCCTGAATTTTATTTTATTCTTTCTTTCTTTCTTTCTTTCTTTCTTTATTTATTTATTTATTTATTTTTTTGTCGCAAACCCCGTCTTAGACGTTCCTGACTTCGTGGCACACCGCCACTAGGATATTTTTATTTATTTTTATTTTTATTTATTATTTATTTATTAATTAAAGATTTCTGTCTTTTTCCCCCCACCGCCGCCTCCTGAATTTTATTTTTTAATTTTTTATTTATTTTTTATTGGTTGATTGATTTTTTTAATTTATTTATTTATTAAATATTTCCGCCTCCTCCACCTCCCATTTCCCTCCCCCGCCCCCGTCTGAGACGTCTCTGTGATCAGTGTGGACAGGTTCAGAACCGGATCCAACTGAATCAGACCAGATCAGACTGGTTCGAAACCGGATCAGACCAGATGAAAACGGTTCAGGCTGGATGTAACAAGTGTAGACAGGTTCTAAACCGGATCCAACTGCATCAGACCGGATCAAACTGGATAAAACAAGTGTAGACAGTTTCAAAACTGGGTCCAACTGGATCAGACCGGATCTAACCAGTGTGGACCACGCCTGCCAGGTTTATCCTTCCTTAAAGATTTATTTATTTATCATGCATACAATATTCTAATTTTTATATTTATTTATCACAGATACAATATTCTAATTTTTACATTTATTTATCATGTATACAATATTCTAATTTTTATATTGATTTATTAAGTATACAATATTCTAATTTTTATATTTATTTACTATATATACAATACTATAATTTTAAATCTATATATTAGGTATAAAATATTCTAATTTTTATATTTATTATATATACAATATTCTAATTTTTATATTTATTTATCATGGATACAATACTCTAATTTTAGTATTTATTTATCATGTATACTATATTCTAATTTTTATATTTATTGTGTATACAATACTCTAATTTTATATTTACTTATTATGCATACAATATTCTAATTTTATATTTATTTATTATGTATGCAATATTCTAATTTTTATATTTATTTATTATGCATACAATACTCTAATTTTACATTTATTTATTATGCAGACAATACTCTAATTTTTATACTTATTTATTATGTATACAATATTCTAATTTTATATTGATTTATTATGTACACAATATTCTGTCTGTATGCCTGCATTCATGTATGCAATATTCTAATTTTTATATTTATTTATTATGCATACAATACTCTAATTTTACATTTATTTATTATGCAGACAATACTCTAATTTTTATACTTATTTATTATGTATACAATATTCTAATTTTATATTGATTTATTATGTACACAATATTCTGTCTGTATGCCTGCATTCCAGCAGAGGGCGCCCAACCCTGTGACCTTGGCGCTGAGCCGCCCTGGGGTGGCCGGGACTCGAACTCGGGACCCGGGGCCGAGCAGGCGGCGCTCTAACCACTGAGCCGCCCCTCCAGCCCCTGTGTGGTTCTTATCATTATTTATTTGTTTTTATTTATTAATTTATTTTGATATTTTTGTAGACAGGGTTTCTCTGTGGCATTGGGTTCCCATCCTGGAACTCGCTCTTGCAGGCCAGGCTGGACTTGAACTCAGCACCCGGCTCTTGTCTTTATTGAGATAGACGAGGGGTCTCACTCCTGCCCTGTATCCACAATAAATAAATAAATATAAAAATTATAATATTGTATCCATAATGAATAAAGAAATATAAAAATCAGAATATTGTATCCATAATGAATAAATAAATATAAACATTAGTGCATTGTATACATAATAAATAAATATAAAAATTAGCATATTGTATACACAATAGATAAATAATATTGCGTACATAATAAATATAAAAATTAGAATATTGTGTACATGATAAATAGATATGAAAATTAGGATATTGGATGCATAACAGACATAAAAATCAGAATATTGTGCACATGATAATCAAATATAAAAATTAGAATATCGTGTACATAATAAATATAAAATTAGAATATTGCATGCATAATAAATAAATATAAAAATTAGAATATTGTATACATAGTAGATAGATAAATATAAAAATCAGAATATCGTGTACATGAAAATTAAATATAAAAATTAGAATATTGCGTACATGATAAATATATAAATTAGAGTATTGCATGCATAATCAATAAATATAAAAATTAGAATATTAAAAAAATTAGAATATCGTGCACATGATAGATATAAAAATCAGAATATCGTGCACATGATAGATATAAAAATCAGAATATCGTGCACATGTTTGATAGATAAATATAAAAATTAGAATATTGCATACATAATAAACATAAAATTAGAATATTGTATACATAATAGACAAATATAAAATTAGGATATTGCATGCATAATAGACATAAAAATCAGAATATCGTGCACATGATAAATATGAAAATCAGAATATCGTGCACATGATAGATATAAAAATCAGAATGTCGTGTACATGATTGATAGATAAATATAAAATTAGAATATTGCACGCATAATAAATAAATACAAAAATTAAAATATTGTATACATAATAAATAAATTTAAAAATTAGAATATTAAAAAATTAGAATATCGTGTACATGATAGATATAAAAATCAGAATATTGTACACATAATAAATGTAAAAATTAGAATATTGCATACATAATAAATATAAAATTAGAATATTGTATGAATAGTAAATAAATATAAAAATTAGAATATTGCACACATAATAAATGTAAAAATTAGAATATTGCATGCATAATAAATAAATATAACATCGGAATATTGCATACATAATAAATTAATGTAAAAATTAGAATGTTGTACGCATAATAAATATAAAAATTAGAATGTTGCATACATCATAAATAGATATAAAAATTAGAATATTGTGCACATGATAGATAAATATAAAAATTAAAATATTTCATGCATAATAAATAAACATAAAAATAGTATATTGCGTACATAATAAATATAAAAATCAGAATATTGCGTACATGATAGATATAAAAAATCAGAATATCATCCACATGATAGATATAAAAATCAGAATAATGCATATATAATAAATAAATATGAAAATCAGAATATTGCGTACATAATAAATATAAAAATCAGAATATTGTGCACATAATAAATATAAAAATCAGAATACTGTGCACATAATAAATATAAGAATCAGAATATTGCATACATGATAAATATAAAATCAGAATAATGCATATATAATAAATAAATATGAAAATCAGAATATCGTGCACATAATAAATATAAAAATCAAAATATTGTGCACATGATAGATATAAAATCAGAATATTGCATACATGATAAATATAAAAATCAGAATATCGTATATATAATAAATAAATATAAAAATCAGAATATCGCGCACATGATAGAAATCAGAATATCGTGCACATGATAGATATAAAAATCAGAATAATGCATATATAATAAATAAATATAAAAATCAGAATATCGTATATATAATAAATAAATATGAAAATCAGAATATCGCGCACATGATAGATATAAAAATCAGAATATCGTGCACATGATAATTAGATATAAAATCAGAATATCGCGCACATGATAGACATAAAAATCAGATATCGTGCACATGATAATTATATATAAAATCAGAATATCGCATACATAATAAATAAATATGAAAATCGGAATATCGCCCGCGCCTGCCCCCGCAGTGTCCCTGCTCAAGGACCTCAAGCACGCCAACATCGTCACGCTCCACGACATCATCCACACCGACAAGTCCCTCACCCTCGTCTTCAAGTACCTGGTAAGGTCGGGGGTCACGGCAGGTCACGGGGGTCGGAGGTCGGGGGTCGGGGGTCGTGGCCCCGGGGGGTGATGGGAGATTTCCCAGGGGCCCGTGCCTCGGTTTCTCCCCGTTGTGCCCCCGTACCTGGTAAGGTCAGGGGTCGGGGGTCACGGCGCGGCCCCGGGGGGGGGGGTCATGGGAGTTTTCCCAGGAGCCCTCGCGGGCGGGTCGGGGGTCGCGGCCCCGGGGGGTGATGGGAGATTTCCCAGGGGCCCGTGCCTCGGTTTCCCCTCCGTTGTGCCCTGGCCCCAGGGGGTGATGTGAGATTTCCCAGGGGCCCTCGCGGGCGGGTTGGGGGTCAGGGGTCGCGGCCCCGGGGGGTGATGGGAGACTTCCCAGGGGCCCGTGCCTTGGTTTCCCCTCCTTGTGCCCTGGGCCCGGGGGGTGATGGGAGATTTCCCAGGGGCCCTCGCGGGTGGGTTGGGGGTCAGGGGTCGCGGCCCCGGGGGGTGATGGGAGATTTCCCAGGAGCCCTCGCAGGTGGGTGGGTCGGGGGTCACGGCCCCGGGGGGTGATGGGAGATTTCCCAGGGGCCCTTGCGTTCGGGTCGGGGGTCACGGCGCGGCCCCGGGGGGTGATGGGAGATTCCCCAGGGGCCCGTGCCTCAGTTTCCCCCCTGTGCCCCCAGGACAAGGACCTGAAGCAGTACCTGGACGACTGCGGCAACGTCATCAACGCGCACAACATCAAGGTGGGGGCGGGGGGGACGGCGGGGGGCGGGGTCCCCAAAAACGACGTTTTCCCCCCAAAATGACTTTTCCCCCCAAAACGATGTTCCCCCCAAAACAATGTTTTCACCCCAAAAACGATGTTTTTCCCCAAAAATGACGGTTTTTATCCCAAAAACGATGTTTTTCCCCAAAAATGACGGTTTTTATCCCAAAAACGATGTTTTCCCTCAAAAATGATGTTTTTCCCCAAAAATGTTTTCCTCCCCAAAATGTTTTTTGCACCCCAAAATGATGTTTTTCCCCAAAAATCATGTTTTTCCCCAAAAATGATGTTTTTCCCCAAAAAATGATGTTTTTCTCCCCAAAATCATGTTTTTCTCCACAAAATGATGTTTTTCCCCCAAGATGATGTTTTTCCCTCAAAAATGATGTTTTTCCTTCAAAAATGATGTTTTTCCCCCAAAATGTTTTTCCCCCAAAACAATGTTTTTCCCCAAAAAACGATGTTTTCTCCCAAAAATGATGTTTTTCTCCCAAAAATGAAGATTTTTTGCACCCAAAGATGATGTTTTTCCCCCAAAAATGATGTTTTTCCCCAAAAATGACATTTTCCCCCAAAAAATGATTTTCCCCCAAAAATGATGTTTTTATCCCCAAAATGATGTTTTTTTGCACCCAAAAATGATATTTTGCACCCAAAAATGATGGTTTGCTCCCAAAAATGATGTTTCTTTACACCCAAAACTGATGGTTTTTTGCACCTAAAAATGATGGGTATTTTTGCACCCAAAAATGATGGTTTTTTGCACCCAAAAATGTTTTTCCCCAAAAATGATGGTTTTTTGCACCCAAAAATGATGGTTTTTTGCACCCAAAAATGATTTTTTTTGCACCCAAAAATGTTTTTCTCCCAAAAATGTTTTTTTGCACCCAAAAATGTTTTTCCCCCAAAAATGATGGTTTTCTCCCCAAAACGTTTTTCTCCCAAAAATGATGGTTTTTTGCACCCAAAAATGCTGATTTTTTTTCATACAAAAATGATGATTTTTTGCACCCAAAAATGATGATTGTTTGCACCCAAAAATGATGGTTTTTTTGCACCCAAAAATGATGATTTTTTTGCACCCAAAAATGATGGGTTTTTTTGCACCCAATAATGATGATTTTTTTTGCACCCAAAAATGATTTTATGTACCCAAAACTGATGTTTTTCTCCCCAAAATGATGTTTTTCTCCCCAAAATGATGATTTTTTTCACCCAAAAATGATGATTTTTTTCACCCAAAAATGCTGATTTTTTGCACCCTAAAATGATGATATTTTTTGCACCCTAAAATGATGATATTTTTGCACCCTAAAATGATATTTTTTGCACCCACAAATGCTGTTTTTTTGCACCCACAAATGATGATATTTTTTGCACCCTAAAATGATGATATTTTTCTGGGCACCCGCAGCTGTTCCTGTTCCAGCTGCTCCGCGGGCTGGCGTACTGTCACCGCCAGAAGGTGCTGCACCGCGACCTCAAGCCGCAGAACCTGCTGCTCAGCGAGTGCGGCGAGCTCAAGCTGGCCGACTTCGGTACCGTGGCCCGGCACCGATATGCTAATTTTACGTTAATCATGCATGCAATATGCTAATTTTATAGCAATTATGCATGCAGCATTCTAATTTTATGTTAATTATGCATGTGGTATTCTGATCTCATATCAATCATGCGTGCGGTATTCTAATTTTATATTAATTATGCATGCAGTATTCTAATTTTATGTTGATTGTGTATGCGGTATTCTAATCTTATATCAATTATGTATGCGGTGTTCTAATTTATAATAATTATGCACGTAGTATTCTAATTTTGTGTTACGTATGCACGCAGCATTCTAATTTATTTCTACTTAATATGCATGCAATATTCTAATTTTTATGTTTATTTATCATGGACGCAATATTCTAATTTTATATTAATCATGCATGCGGCATTCTAATCTTATATTAATCATGCATGCGGTATTTAATTTATATTAATTATGCCTGCGGTATTCTGATTTTATATCTATTTAATATGCATGCCATATTATATGTGTGCAATATTATAATTTTTATATCTATTTATCATGTGTGCGATAGTCTAATTTTTATATTTATTATGTATACAATACTCTAATTTTTATATTTATTTATTAGGTGTACAATATTCTAATTTTTATATTAATTCATCATATGTATAATATTCTAATTTTTAAACCTATTTATTATGCACACAATATTCTAATTTTCATATCTATTTATTATGTGCACACTATTCAGGATGTATCCAGTATTCTAATTTTCATATTTATCTATTTATTCATGATGTGTACAATGTTCTAATTTTTATATTTATCCGTTATGTATACAATATTCTAATTCTCTTTCTATTTGTCTATTATGAATACAATATTCTAACTTTATATTTATAACAGACACTATATTATAATTTTATATTTATGACGGACAATATTATAATTATATATTTATTACGGATACAATATTCTAATTTTATATTTATTATGGACACGATATTATAATTTTATATTTATGATGGACACGATATTATAATTTTATATTTATGACAGACACTATATTACAATTTTATATTTATGGCAAATACAATATTATTATAATTTTGCATATTAATTACGGACACGATACTATAATTTTATATTTATGACAGACACTATATTATAATTCTATATTTATTATGGATACAATATTATAATTTTATATTTATGACGGATACGATATTATAATTTTATATTCATTACGGACACGATACTATAATTTTATATTAATTACGGACACGATATTATAATTTTATATTCATGACAGACACAATATTATAATTTTATATTTAATACGGACACGATATTATAATTTTATATCTATGACGGACACGATATTATTATAATTTTATATCTATTACAGACACGATATTATTATAATTTTATATGTATTACGGACACGATATTATTATAATTTTATATCTATTACGGACACGATATTATAATTTTATATTTATGACGGACACAATATTATTCTAATTTTATATTCATTACGGACAAGATATTCTAATTTTATATTAATTACGGACACGATATTCTAATTTTATATCTATTACGGACACAATGTTATAATTTTATAACTATTACGGATACGATATTAGAATTTCATATTAATGACGGACACAATATTACAATTTTATATTTATTACGGACACAATACTATAATTTTATATTTATTATGGGTACAAATTGTTATAGTTTTATATTAATGACGGACACGATATTATAATTTTATATCTATTATGGACACAATATTATAATTTTATATTAATGACGGACATGATATTATAATTTTATATTTATGACGGACACGATATTATTATAATTTTATATATTTATGACGGACACTATATTACTATAATTTTGTATATCTATTACGGACACAATGTTATTATAATTTTGTATATTTATGACGGACACGATATTATTATAATTTTGTATATTTATAAGGGATATGATATTATAATTTTATATTTATTATGGATATGATATTATAATTTCATATTTATCATCCCCCCCGGGGACTCGAACCCGGATCCCTGCAGGCCTGGCACGAGCGAAGTCGATCCCCACGAAGACGTACTCGCACGAGGTCGTGACCCTGTGGTACCGCCCCCCTGACGTGCTGCTGGGCGCCACCGAGTACTCGACACCGATCGACCGCTGGTGAGGGGGCGGGGCTACCCATGATGCCTTGCTCTCCTCCCTACCCACAATCCCTTGCTCTCCCCCCTACCCACGATGCCTTGCTCTCTCTCCCCTACCCACAATGCCTTGCTCTCCACGCCACCCCGACGTGCTGCTGGGCGCCACCGAGTACTCGACCCCCATCGACCTCTGGTGAGGGGGCGGGTTACCCACGATCCCTTGCTCCCCTACCCACAATCCCTTGCTCCCCTACCCACGATCCCTTGCTCCCCTACACCCCTACCCACGATCCCTTGCTCTCCCCTACCCACGATGCCTTGCTCTCCCCCTACCCACGATGCCCTGCTCTCCCTCTACCCACGATGCCTTGCTCTCCCCCTACCCACGATGCCTTGCTGTCCCCCTACCCATGATGCCTTGCTCTCCCCCTACCCACGATGCCCTGCTCTCCCCTACCCACGATGCCTTGCTCTCTCCTACCCACAATGCCTTGCTCTCCCCCTACCCACGATGCCCTGCTCTCGCCCTACCCATGATGCCCTGCTCTCCCCTACACACAATCCTTTGCTCTCCCCTACCAACGATGCCCCGCTCTCCCCCTACCCACAATGCCCTGCTCTCCCCTACCCACGATGCCCAGCTCTCCCCTACCCACGATGCCTTGCTCTCCTCCCCCTACCCACAATACCTTGCTCTCGCCCCTACCCACGATGCCCTTCTCTCCCCGACCCACAATCCCTTGCTCTCCCCTACCCACGATGCCCAGCTCTCCCCCTACCGACAATGCCCTGCTCTCCCCTACCCACGATGCCCTTCTCTCCCCTACCCATGATGCCTTGCTCTCCCCACTACCCAGGATGCCTTGCTCTCCCCCTACCGACGATACCTTGCTCTCCCCCTACCCACGATGCCTTGCTCTCCTCCCCCTACCCACAATCCCTTGCTCTCCCCCTACCCACGATGCCCTGCTCTCCCCTACCCATGATGCCCTTCTGTCCCCTACCCACGATGCCCTGCTCTCCTCTCCTACCCACGATGCCTTGCTCTCCCCCTATTCATGATGCCCTGCTCCCCTACCCACGATGCCTTGCACTCCCCTACACACGATGCCCTGCTCTCCCCCTACCCACGATGCCCTGCTCTCCTCCCCTACCCACGATGCCCTGCTCTCCTCCCCTACCCACGATGCCTTGCTCTCCCCCTACCCACGATGCCCTGCTCTCGCCCTACCCATGATGCCCTGCTCTCCCCTACACACAATCCTTTGCTCTCCCCTACCAACGATGCCCCGCTCTCCCCCTACCCACAATGCCCTGCTCTCCCCTACCCACGATGCCCAGCTCTCCCCTACCCACGATGCCTTGCTCTCCTCCCCCTACCCACAATCCCTTGCTCTCGCCCCTACCCACAATGCCCTTCTCTCCCCGACCCACAATCCCTTGCTCTCCCCTACCCACGATGCCCAGCTCTCCCCCTACCGACAATGCCCTGCTCTCCCCTACCCACGATGCCCTTCTCTCCCCTACCCATGATGCCTTGCTCTCCCCATTACCCAGGATGCCTTGCTCTCCCCCTACCCACGATGCCCTGCTCTCCTCCCCTACCCACGATGCCTTGCTCTCCCCCTACCCACGATGCCCTGCTCTCCTCCCCTACCCACGATGCCTTGCTCTCCCCCTACCCACGATGCCTTGCTCTCTACCCACGATGCCCTGCTCTCCCATACTCACGATGCCATTCTCCCCTACCCAAGATGCCCAGCTCTCCCCCTACCCACAATGCCCTGCTCTCCCCTACCCACGATGCCCTGCTCTCCTCCCCTACCCACGATGCCCTGCTCTCCTCCCCTACCCACGATGCCTTGCTCTCCCCCTACCCACGATGCCTTGCTCTCTACCCATGATTCCCTGCTCTCCCATACTCACGATGCCATTCTCCCCTACCCAAGATGCCCTGCTCTCCCCTACCCATGATGCCTTGCTCTCCCCTACCCACGATCTCTTGCTCTCCCCCCTACCCACAATCCCTTGCTCTCCCCTACACACGATGCCCTGCTCTCCTCCCCCTACCCACGATGCCCTGCTCTCCTCCCCCTACCCACGATGCCCTGCTCTCCCCCCTACCCATGAGGCCTTGCTCTCTACCCACAGTGCCTTGCTCTCCCCTACCCACAATGCCCTGCTCTACCCACGATGCCCTGCTCTCTACCCACAATGCCCTGCTCTACCCACGATGCCCTGCTCTACCCACGATGCCCTGCTCTCTACCCACGATGCCGTGTTCTCTACCCACGATGCCGTGCAGGGGCGTGGGCTGCATCTTCTACGAGATGGCCACCGGCCGCCCGCTGTTTCCCGGCTCCACCGTGGAGGAGCAGCTGCACTTCATCTTCCGGGTGCTGGGTGAGAGCTGAGGCAGGGGGATGACCAGTGTGGGCGGGGGAGCTGAGGCGGGGGGATGACCACAGTGGGGATGGGGAACTGAGGCAGGGGGATGACCAAAGGGGGGAGCTGAGACAGGAGGATGACTGAGGACGTGGAGGAGGAGCTGAGACGGGGATGACTGAGGACGTGGAGGAGGAGCTGAGACAGGGGGATGACTGAGGACGTGGAGGAGCTGAGACAGGGGGATGACTGAGGACGTGGAGGAGCTGAGACAGGGGGACGACTGAGGACGTGGAGGAGGAGCTAAGGCAGGGGGATGACTGAGGACGTGGAGGAGGAGCTGAGACAGGGGGATGACTGAGGACGTGGAGGAGCTGAGACAGGGGGATGACTGAGGACGTGGAGGAGGAGCTGAGACAGGGGGATGACTGAGGATGTGGAGGAGCAGCTGAGACAGGGGGATGACTGAGGACGTGGAGGAGGAGCTGAGACAGGGGGATGACTGCGGACGTGGAGGAGGAGCTGAGACAGGAGGATGACTGAGGACGTGGAGGAGGAGCTGAGACAGGGGGATGACTGAGGACGTGGAGGAGCTGAGACAGGGGGATGACTGAGGACGTGGAGGAGGAGCTGAGACAGGGGGATGACTGAGGACATGGAGGAGCTGAGACAGGGGGATGACTGAGGACATGGAGGAGGAGCTGAGACAGGGGGATGACTGAGGACGTGGAGGAGGAGCTGAGACAGGGGGATGACTGAGGACGTGGAGGAGGAGCTGAGACAGGGGGATGACTGAGGACGTGGAGGAGGAGCTGAGACAGGGGGATGACTGAGGACGTGGAGGAGGAGCTGAGACAGGGGGATGACTGAGGACGTGGAGGAGGAGCTGAGACAGGGGGATGACTGAGTACGTGGAGGAGGAGCTGAGGCTGGGGATGGCCGACGTGGGAGGAGCTGAGGCAGGGGGATGGCTTTGGGCCGACCGGGTGGACTCGAACCCGCGCCCGCCCATCCCCCAGGCACGCCGACGGAGGAGACCTGGCCTGGCATCCTCTCCAACGAGGAGTTTCGCACCCACAACTACCCCAAGTACCACGCGGAGGCGCTGCTCAGCCACGCGCCACGGTGAGGAGGGTGGCCGGGACGGCGGTTTCGGGGGTCCCCAAGGAGGCGAGACGGCGGGATGGCTGTTTCGGTTGGCCGGACAGTGGTTTCGGGGGGCCCCGCTGAGGCTGGCGGGCGGGACGGCGGTTTCAGGGGGCCCCGGGGTGTGGGGGGACTGACGGTTTCGTTGTCCCAGGGGTGTTGGGGGAATGGCGGTTTCAGGGGGCCCCGGGGTGTGACGGCAGTTTCGGGGGTCCCCGGGGCGTGGGGCGAATGGTGGTTTCTGGTTCCCCGGGATGTGGGGAGACGGTGATTTCGGGGGGCCCTGGGGTGTGTTGGACAGCGGTTTCTGGGGGCCCCAGGGTATGGGGGGAATGGCAGTTTCAGGGGTCCCCAGGGTATGGGGGGAATGGCGGTTTTTGGGTCCCCGGGGTGTGTTGGAAATGGCGGTTTCAAGCGTCCCCGGGGTGTGGGGGGACGGCGGATTCTTGGGTCCCCAGGGTGTGTGGGGGAAACGGCGGTTTCGGGGGTCCCTGGGGTGTGATGGTGGTTTCAGGGATCCCCGGGGTGTGGGGGAATGGCAGTTTCAGGGTTCCCCGGAGTGTGGGGGGAATGGCGGTTTCGGGGGGCCCCAGGATGTGAGGGGATGGCAGTTTCGGGGTCCCCAGGGTGTTGGGGGAACGGCGGTTTCGGGGGCCCACGGGCAGGCGGGATGGCAGTTTCGGTGTCCCCAGGGTGCGGGGGGAATGGCGGTTTCTGGGTCCCCGGGGTGTGGGGGGGAAACGGCAGTTTCCGGGGGCCCCGGGATTTGCGGGGACTGCGGTTTCGGGGGTCCCCGGGTGTGGGGTCAGGGGGTCATGGGCACCGCCCCCTTTTCTTCCTATCAGGCTCGACGGCGACGGCGCCGACCTCCTGTCCAAGCTGCTGCAGGTGAGGGCGGGTGTTTATTATGTATGCGATATTCTGATATTACCTTAATTATGCATGCGATATTCTAATTTCACATTTATTCATTATGTATACAATATTCTAATTTTTATGTTTATTTATTATATACGCAATATTCTGATTTTATATTTATTTATTATATACGCAGTATTCTGAATTTATACTTATTTATTATGTATACGATATTCTGTTTTTATATTTATTAGGTGTAAAATTTTCTGACTTTATATTTATTCATTATGTGTACGATATTCTGATTTTATATTTATTCATTATGTACATAATATTCTGATTTTATATTTATTATGTGTGCAGTATTTGGGTTTCATATTTATTTATTTTTATTTATTAGGGACCCATCTACTCTCTCCCACGCAGTTTTTTCATTATTATTATTACTTATTATTAATTATTATTATTATTATTAATTATTTATTTTCATTATTATTTATTTTACTTATTATTCATCCTTTATTTTTATTATTTATTTTTAATTATTTTCATTTGTTTTTTATTTTCATTATTGTTTATTTTTGTTTATTATTTATTTTTATTATTATATATTTTATTTGATATCATTTATTCTTATTATTATTTATTTATTATTTATCATTTATTTTTATTATTATTTATTTTAATTATTTATTACTTATTTTCATTATTATTTATTTATTTTTATTATTTATCATTTATTTTCATTATTATGTTATTTATTATTTTCTTTTATTTATTGTTTATATTTATTTGTTTTTATTTATTATCATTTATTTTCATTATTGTTTATTATTTATTTTTATGTATTATTCATCATATATTTTGATTATTACTTTTTATTATCATTTATTTATATTTATTATTTATTATTGTGTATTATTTATTGTTATTTATTATTTCGATTATTATTTATATTTATATATTATCTCCCCCCTGTAGTTCGAGGGCCGACACCGGATCTCCGCGGACGCCGCCATGCGACACGACTTCTTCCTCAGCCTGGGCGAGCGGATCCACCAGCTTCCCGACAGTCCGTCCTGATCTTTTATCGATTGATTATTGTTTTATTTTTATTGATTTATTGTTTTTTTTTAATTTATTTATTATTTTTTTATTTTTCATTTTTTTTCACTTCCACTTTTATTATTTATTATTATTTTATTTTTAATCATTTTTTATTTTTTATTTATTTAATATTATTTCATATTTATTTTTTATTTTTTATTTATCTAATATTTTTTTGATTTATAATTTTTTTCTTATTTTATTTATTTTTTTTTATTTATATTTCCCTTCCACTTTTTTATTTTTTATAATTTATTATTTTTATTTTTATTTATTTTTTATTATTTATTTATTATTTTTTTTATATATATTTATATTTTTTTACCCTTCCACTTTTTTTATTTTTTATTATTTATTATTTTTTTAATTTTTATTTTTCACTTCCATTTTTTTATTTTTTATTTATTTATCTTTTTTGTTTTTTATTTATCATTTTTCATTTTTTATTTAATATTTTCTTATTTTTTATTTATTTTTACCTTCCACTTTTTAATTTTTTATTTATTATTTTTAATTTTAATTTTTTAATCATTTTTTTATTTTTTGTTTATTTTTTCCCTTCCACATTTTTTACAAAATTCTCCTACAGTCCATAGCGTTTCAGGACTCCACTATTTTTATTTTTTATTGTATTTTATTATATTTTGTCTTATTTTATCTTTATTTTAATTTTATTTTATTTTTATTTTATCTTATTTTTATTCTATTTATTTTTTTCCTTCCACGGTATATGAAATTCTCCTAGAGTCCATAGCCTCACAGGACTCCACTATTTTTATTTTTTATTTTATTTTTATTTCTCCTTATTTTTTTTCTTCTCTGGTGTACGAAATTCTCCGAGAGGCCATAGCGTTGCAGGACTCCACTTTTGATTTTTATATTTTATTTTTTATTTTATTTTAATTTCATTTTTATTTTATTTTAATTTAATTTTATTTTTATTTATTTTTATTTTATCTCATTTTTGTCTTATTTTTTTATTTTATTTTATTTTTGTTTTAATTTCATTATTTTATTTTAATTTATTTTATTTTATTGTAATTTAATTTTAATTTTATTTCATTTTATTTTTATTTTATCTCATTTTTATCTTATTTTATTTTTATTTTATTTTAATTTAACTTATTTTTATTTTATATTATTCTGTTTTCTCCCCCGCAGCCACGTCGATATTTGCACTAAAGGAGATCCAGCTCCAGCAGGAGGCCGCCCTGCGCTCCGCGCCCGCGCCCGACTCAGGTAACCGCTGACAACATTAATTTATATAAAATACAATAAAATCCACTTATTTATTCTGATTAAAATCCATTTATTCTGCTTAAAATCCATTTATTCTGTTTATCCTCCAGTCCCCCATGGTGTCTGCCCGCAGGCCCGCGAATAAAATCCAATAAAATCCATTTATTCTGGGTTTTTCTTTTTTCCTTTTTGTTTTTATTTTTTCCTTTTTTCTTCTCCTTTTTTTAAAATTATTCTTTCTTTTTTTTCCCGTTTATTATTTTTATATTTTTATTTTTTTCTTAAATTTTTCCCATTTATTTATTATTGATTATGTTTTAATTGTTGTTTATTATTATTTTTACTTAGTATGTTTTAGTTATTATTTATTATTATTTTTACTTATCGTGTTTTAATTATTATTTATTATTATTACTTATGTTTTAATTATTTTTTATTATTATTTTTACTTATCATGTTTTAATGATTATTTATTATTATTTTTACTTATGTTTTAATTATTATTCATTATTATTTTTACTTATCATGTTTTAATTATTTATTATTTTTACCTATCATGTTTTAATTATTACTTATTATTTTTACTTACCATGTTGTAATTATTTATTGCTTTTACTTATCATGTTTTATTTAGTATTTATTATCATTTTTACTTATCATGTTTTAATTAATTATTATTATTATTTTCACTTATCATGTTTTAATTATTATTAATTATTATGTATTATTATTTTCACTTACTTTATTATTTATTATTATTATGTTTCATTATTATTTTTTAATTACCATGAATGATTATTATCATTACTTAATTATCCTTTATGATTATTGATTATCATTATTTTACTATCCTTTATGATTATTGATGATCATTATTTAACTATCCTTTATGATTATTGATTATCATTATTTAACTATCCTTTATGATTATTGATTATCATTATTTAATTACCATTTCTGACTATTGATTATCAATTTTTAATTACCATTTATGATTATTGATTATCATTGAACTATCCTTGATGATTATTATTATTTAATTATCCGTTGTTGATTAATGATTATCATTATTTAATTATCATTAATGATTATTGATTATTATTATTTAACTATCCTTTATGGTTATTATTACTATTTAATTATCCTTTATGAATATTATCATTATTTAACTATCCTTTATGTTTATTGATTATCATTATTTAACTATCCTTTTTGATTATTGATTATCATTGTTTAATTACCCTTTATGATTATTGATCATTTTTTAATTACCGTCTATGATTATTGATTATCATTATTTAATTCTCCTTTATGATTATTGATTACTATTATTTAATTATCCGTTATTGATTATTGATTATTGATTCCCCCCCCCCCGCAGGCCGCCCCGCGTTCTGGGTCATGGACACCGAGTTCTAATCTCAGCCGAGAACGAAGCCCCAGGTCCCGCCCCGCGCGCAGCGGATGCAGGGGGATGACACTCACTTCACCCCCGGGGCCTGGACTCGCACCCGCGGCCTCCCCGCTCGTCCCCGCCATCCCCCTGCCTCCACCCCGACCTCCGACCCCCGACCCCTGACCCCCGACCCCCGTCTGTCTGCTGGGTGCTAACAGAGCTCTCGCCACGGATTGGCTGCGCTGTGTGTCTGTCATCATGGGGGGCGAGGGGGCAGCGCCGGGGATTGTGGGTAATGGAGTCCACGCCGGGGATTGTGTGTAATGACGTCCACGCCCGGGATTGTGGGTAATGACGTCCACGCCCGGGATTGTGGGTAATGACGTCCACGCCCGGGATTGTCGGTAATGACGTCCACGACCGGGATTGTGGGTAATGACGTCCACGCCCGGGATTGTCGGTAATGACGTCCACGACCGGGATTGTGGGTAATGACGTCCATGACCGGGATTGTGGGTAATGACGTCCTCGCCCGGGATTGTGGGTAATGACGTCCATGCCCGGGATTGTGGGTAATGACCTCCACGCCCGGGATTGTGGGTAATGACCTCCACGCCCGGGATTGTGGGTAATGACGTCCACGCCCGGGATTGTGGGTCATGACGTCCACGCCTGGGATTGTGGGTAATGACGTCCCACGCTCGGGATTGTGGGTAATGACGTCCACGCCCGGGATTGTGGGTAATGACGTCCACGCCCGGGATTGTGGGTAATGACGTCCACGCCCGGGATTGTGGGTAATGACGTCCTCGCCCGGGATTGTGGGTAATGATGTCCTAGCCCGGGATTGTGGGTAATGACATCCCATGCCTGGGATTGTGGGTAATGACGTCCATGCCCAGGATTGTGGGTAATGACATCCCACACCCAGGATTGTGGGTAATGACGTCCACGCCCGGGATTGTGGGTAATGACGTCCTCGCCCGGGATTGTGGGTAATGACGTCCACGCCCGGGATTGTGGGTAATGACGTCCACGCTCGGGATTGTGGGTAATGACGTCCACACCCAGGATTATGGGTAATGACGTCCACGCCCGGGATTGTGGGTAATGACGTCCACGCCCGGGATTGTGTGTAATGACGTCCACGCCCGGGATTGTGGGTAATGACGTCCACGCCCGGAATTGTGGGTAATGAAGACCACGCCCGGGATTGTGTGTAATGACGTCCACGCCCGGGATTGTGGGTAATGCCGTCCACGCCCGGGATTGTGGGTAATGACGTCCACGCTCGGGATTGTGGGTAATGACGTCCACACCCAGGATTATGGGTAATGACATCCACGCCCGGGATTGTTGGTAATGACGTCCACGCCCGGGATTGTGGGTAATGACGTCCACGCCCGGGATTGTGGGTAATGACGTCCACGCCCGGGATTGTCGGTAATGACGTCCACGACCGGGATTGTGGGTAATGACGTCCACGCCCGGGATTGTCGGTAATGACGTCCACGACCGGGATTGTGGGTAATGACGTCCACGACCGGGATTGTGGGTAATGACGTCCTCGCCCGGGATTGTGGGTAATGACGTCCACGCCCGGGATTGTGGGTAATGACCTCCACGCCCGGGATTGTGGGTAATGATGTCCACGCCCGGGATTGTGGGTCATGACGTCCACGCCCGGGATTGTGGGTAATGACGTCCACACCCGGGATTGTGGGTAATCACATCCATGCCCGGGATTGTTTGTAATGATGTCCTAGCCCGGGATTGTGGGTAATGACATCCCATGCCTGGGATTGTGGGTAATGACATCCACGCCCAGGATTGTGGGTAATGACATCCCACACCCAGGATTGTGGGTAATGACGTCCACGCCCGGGATTGTGGGTAATGACGTCCACGCCCGGGATTGTGGGTAATGACGTCCACGCCCGGGATTGTGTGTAATGACGTCCACGCCCGGGATTGTGGGTAATGACGTCCACGCCCGGGATTGTGGGTAATGACGTCCACGCCCTGGATTATGGGTAATGATGTCCACGCCCGGGATTGTGGGTAATGACGTCCCACCCCAGGGATTGTGGGTAATGACGTCCCACCCCAGGGATTGTGGGTAATGACGTCCACGCCCGGGATTGTGGGTAATGACGTCCACGCCCGGGATTGTGGGTAATGACGTCCACGCCCGGGATTGTGGGTAATGACGTCCACGCCCGGGATTGTGGGTAATGACGTCCACGCTCGGGATTGTGGGTAATGACGTCCACACCCGGGATTGTGGGTAATGGCTTCCACACCCAGGATTGTGGGTAATGACGTCCACGCCCGGGATTGTCGGTAATGACGTCCCACACCCGGGATTGTGGGTAATGACGTCCACGCCCAGGATTATGGGTAATGACGTCCATGCCCAGGATTGTGGGTAATGAGGTCCACGCCCGGGATTGTGGGTAATGATGTCCACACCCGGGATTGTGGGTAATGAGGTCCCACGCCCAGGATTTTCAGGCTGTGCCTTCTATAGGATGAGTATACGATCAGAGGCAGCGGGGACCTGGGTGCAAGTTCGTGCTCCGCAGTTATACCCCCATCCCCTGCAGGGATCTGAGTTCGAGTTCAACTCCCGGATGTACGTCTCGTGGGGGGTTTGGAGGGAAGTCGGGGGGTTCCCCGGATGCGACCTCATCGCCATGTGAAATATTAAACAACAACAATAATTAAAAGAAAAGCCTGGCTGTCAATCATCCGCAAGGCAAGCGGGGAGGAGGGCGGGCCTCGAATGCTGGTTGGATTCGATCCCGGGCTCAGGCCCAGGGAGCCTTCGGAAGGCGTTAAGTGGAGTGATTTATTATTTATTTTTATTTATTTATTTTTATTTATTTTTTTTAAATTTATTTTTTTTAATTTATTTATTTTTTAATTAATTAATTTATTTCTTGGGTTCCCTGACCGGGCATCGAACCCGGGCCGCAGCGGTGAGATTTTATTTATTTATTTATTTATTTATATTTATTTATTTATTTATTTCTTGGGTTCCCAGACCGGGCATCGACCCCGGGACGCCGCAGTAAGATCTTTATTTATTTATTTATTTATCTATCTATCTATATTTATTTATTTATTGGTGTTCCGAGACAGGGTTTCCCTCCCCATGGCTTTTTGGGTGCCCGTCCTTGGCCCTCACTCCTGTGGACCAGGCTGGACTCGAACCCAGACCCGCCGGCCTCTAATGGAAATCCTGAAGATAGACTTGGAGAGAAATTAAAAAACCAATAAAAACAATAAAAATAAGATTAAAAAAAAAAGGTTTCCGCAAAGCCTGGACGCCGTCCCCAGGGTGTGTTTTTTTTCTCTTAAATATAAAAATTAGAATATTGTATCCATGATGAATAAATATAAAAATAGAATATTGTAGACATAATAAATAAATAATTAGAATATTGTTTCCATAAAAACAAATAAATATAAAAATTAGAATGTTGCATACATAATAAATAAACCTAAAAATTAGAATATTGTATGCATAATTAATAAATATAAAAATTAGAATATTGTATGCATAATTAATAAATATGAAAATTAGAATATTGTTTACAAAATAAATGAATATAAGAATTAGAATATTGTATACATAATAAATAAATAAATGTGAAATTAGAATATTGTACATATAATAAATAAATATAAAAATTAGAATCTAGTATACATAAAAAATATGAAATTAGAATATTGTACACATAATAAATAAATATTAAAAAAAGGGGCTGGAGAGATGGCTCCGTGGTTAGAGCGCAGCCTGCTCTTCCCGAGGTCCCGGGTTCGAGTCCCAGCCACACCAGGGGGGCTCAGAACCAAGGTCTGGTGCCCTCTGCTGGCCTGCAGGCATACACACAGACAGAATATTGTATCCATAATGAATAAATATAAAAATTAGAATATTGTGTACATAATAAATACATTAAAAATTAGAATATTGTATACATAATAAATAAATGTGAAATTAGAATACTGTATGCATAATAAATGAATATAAAATTGGAATATTGTATACATAATAAATAAATGTGAAATTAGAATATTGTGTACATAATAAATAAATAGATATAGAAATTAGAATATTGTATACATAATAAATGTAAAATTAGAATATGGTATACGTAATAAATAAATATAAAAATTAGAATATTGTACACATAATAAATAAATAAATATAAAAATTAGAATATTGTACACATAATAAATAAATAGATATAAAAATTAGATTATTGTACACATAATAAATGAATAAATATAAAAATTAGAATATTGTACACATAATAGATAAATAAATAAATATTTAAGAACCGGTGACCCTGTACTCCTAGGATTTGAAAGGCTACGGCAGGAGGACCGCCATGAGTTCAACGCCGACCTGAGCTTCATATTCAGAATGGGAGCTGGTCAACTGTTTGAATTTGAGTTAAAATAAAAAAAATTGAAATGTGTAATCATCATCCTAATTAAGTCCATAGTTAAAACAGAAATCACCAAAATAAAATAATTATAATTATTAATAAAAAATAATTATGTAATAAAAATTAAATTTATAATAATAATAATAAAGGAACTATTGCATAAAAATGAAATGTGTAATCATCGTCATAATTAAGTCCATAGTTAAAGCAGAAATCACCAAAATAAAATAATTATAATTAATAATAAAAAATAATTATGTTATAAATATTAAATTTATAATAATAATAATAGAAGGCACTATTGCATAAAAATTAAATTTATAATAATACTAATAGAAGTGACTATTGCATAAAAATGAAATGTGTAATCTTCGTCCTAATTAAGTCCATGGTTAAAAGAAATAACCAAAATAAAATAATTATAATTAATAATAAAAAAATAATTATGTTATAAAAATTAAATTTATAATAATAATAATAATAGAAGGCACTATTGCATAAAAATTAAATGTGTAATCATCGTCCTAATTAAGTCCGTAGTTAAAGCAGAAATCACCAAAATAAAATAATTTAATAATGAAAAAATTATGTTATAAAAATTAAATATATAATTATAATAATAATACAAGGAATTATTGCATAAAAATGAAATGTGTAATCATCGTCCTAATTAAGTCCATAGTTAAAACAGAAATCACCAAAATAAAATAATTATAATTAATAATAAAAAATAATTATGTTATAAAAATTAAATTTATAATAATAAT